TATTACATAACGGCCATGTTCTGTCCTTGATTTTTGACAGACATTCCACCAATCCCAGGTTAGTAAATCAAAACTGGCCCTTTTATTTTCTACTGGTTCTCCAGTAAATGGAAAAATGCTTTGCCAGCTGCATGCCACAAGGTGAATTATTTTTTAAGTTTCAACCAGAACAGTTCAGAAATTTCTTAGAACCAGCATTAAGTTCTGCCATGCTAAAATAAGTCTTACAATTGTTTGATCAAGAAGTTCTTGCTCCCTTGCGTGTTGGGGCAGGAAGTTGAAATCTGGCAAATCAGGTGAAGTAGCAAGGGGGGGGGAGGGGAGGAAAAGGAGGAGGGTAGTCTTTTTCATCACAGCTCAAAATTTGGCCAAGTTATAAAACTCTAAATCCATTAAAAAAAATTGCAATGTATATATGCTCAGGGACTTGCTGGCAATTTTAGCTGTGAAGTTTTAGATTCTATTCTAATTTTATCATAATATATAAACACAAGAGGGATGAATTAATATTGCAAACGCAATTTAAATTCTGGCATTTCTTAACCTTTGAGTGTTTGCTTTTGCAACTTCAATATTAGTGTTCTCTGTATGCAGTTTATAAGTTTTAATATATTTATGTATTAAATATAGCATGCTGATAATGGAGAGAAAGAATTTGGCTGCTTCTCTGCTGCCAAATATCTGGACCCATGGGGAGCCCTGCAGGCCAGACAGTGTGGCCCTGCGTGCTAGACCAGGCAGGTACACAAGAGTAGCCCGGGGCCCCATCCAGCACTCAGGGGCTGGCTGAGGCTGCATGGGATTTGATCCAGCCCACAAACTGACCCCATACCACTTATCTGGTTGCAAAGCCAAAAGGTTAAGCACCACTGCTTTACACTTAGAATAGGAAACCAACAAGGCAGAGTATCTGAAAGTACTCTATAATTTTAGGAACACACACAAAGCATGAGGTAAATTTCTTGTCAGGGAGACAAAAAAAAGCACAGAGCACACATTCCATATTTTCTACCTGTTAATAATACATAGCTGTTTCCACAGCTGCAGGAGTGGGGAAAATGCTGTAAGAATTCTCGTTTTCCCTAAATTAGATGGCAGAAATAAAAATATCTTGTCATCTATCCATCTATGAATCTCCTGCCTTTTTTTTTTTTTTTTTTTAAATTCTAGTTGGACAGCAACTCCTATCCTCGCCTTCTACTGTAGTGCAGGACAGAACAGAGAAGAAAATATTCAGAAATAGGAAGTAAAGGTCTCAAACTTCTTTCATTTGTCAAAGAAACTGCTTTCAATTCAAAGAGATTTCATGCAAGTATTAACAAAGCCACAAGGATGCATATTTGTTTGATGGTGATGTTCTATAGCAGAAGTTGCATGTCTGCTTGAAGAAATAGTTCAAATATTTAACTTATCTCTTAGAAGAAGTAGCCTACTATACAGAAACTTAAATTTTGGATTCTTACATCAAGTGTCCACCATACTGGAAAATGATGAACTACATCCAAAAAGACCATCATTTCTTCATCTAACTCGTTAGAGAAAGTTTGAGACTACCAGATGGCTGCACTCTTCATCAAGGCACGAACAAGCAAAATAGTCTCATAGGCAGGGGTCTGCTTATCTCGCTGCGAGACAAAGCAATTTTCGTGGCTCGATAGCAGCACAAAGACATAAAGCATATAATTTAATAGCAAATTCAACAGAAAGTAAATGATATCATATGATTTATTATATGCCTTAATATTAAATGTAAATATATGTAAATTTAAATATATTATCATAATACACAATATGAAGTGTAACTTATATCGTAATTTATTACATGTAGCATTCTACAAAAAGTTTCGATGCCAACCTTAATAGAAACAATTAATTTTAGAACAGGTACCCGTCACTTAACATCATCCCGTTTAACATTGTTTCATTATTACATTGCTGATCTATTAGAGAACATACTTGTTTAAAGTCATGCAATGTTCGGTTATAACATTGTTTGGCTGCCACCTGCTTGTAGGCAACTACTGTGACGTAACTGGATTAGCTTAACATCATTTTGCTTAAAGTCAATTTTTTCCAGAACGTAACTACGTTAAGCGAGGAGTAGCTGTAGTTAAATGCTAGCATGCCGCATCCCTCAGCAGTTGCAGCTGACAACCTCCGTCTCTGCAGTGCGAAGACTTGTCTATATACTGAGATCGCAGTTTCTGCATCCACTGAATTGGTTGGAATTGTAAAACAGCATTTTGCCAAGTTGTAGAGATGTGAAAACCGATCAGAAACAGAAGCCCAAAAAATTCAGTTACATTCAAAGCATCAGGCATGCTTCGACACAGTTCACGTAAGCAGCACATTCGTTGCCACAGTCTTTCTGCCATTGATGTAATTAGCTGAGGGTTAAAACTCAGAAAAGGCATCTGATTTGGGTCAAAAATGTGAATAGCACTAAAAAAGTAGGTAGCCAGTTGTTTAAAATCAAGGTGGCAGTGACTGATTGTACTTGTAGTACTGATTTTACTTTGCAGAGCTATTGCCTGGGACAGTTCTTGCCTCCGCTGGTTTTCAGTTTGACAATCTGAAAGCTGTTGTGATGCCGTATCTTCAACCCAGTTTATCAAATCCATCTGTTTGTTGAATCAAAACCTCCCCCCTTTCAAACCACATTAAAAGCTTCATGAACCAGATCGCATTTTCAGGCACAAACTTAACTTGTTCTTCAAAGTTGCCCTGTTTTAACAGATCATGTAGTTTAAGCATGCACTGTGTGCTGGGTGCGATTTCAAGCTCCTTGCACACAAATTGCTGGTAGTACTTAATATTCCTTGCATAGTAATGCACAGCGTTAAACCACAAATTTTACCTTGTAAGCTCTAGTTCTGGCAGAAGTGACATAGCTGTATTTAGATACCTGCTTGGACTAGCAATGGACTCCGTGCATCAAAGCTTACAGTCTGGCCAATGTTTGAATGTTTTTTTAAAAAGAGGAAACCAGTCTATCCACATCAGGAAAACATGTACGTCAGATATCACTTACTAAACAAAGAATGTGTGCATTGTAGGTAACATGAATTGTATTGGACATCATTCCATGGAGCACATCGGAGAAAGCTTTGCACATATACATTGCATTATCAGACAGAAATGCTGAGATCTTGCTAAATTCTAAGCCATAGTTTACAACAGCCTTCACTGGTTTGTGCTACACTTGAAAAACTAAGAGCTAGTTCAACTCACATCTGTCTGAAAAACAAGCAGGTTACTGCCTTTCCACCTCCTAGGTACAAATAAAACATGGAGTACACAGCTATCCTGTGTATCGGTTGCTTCATTTGCTACCATCAAAATGGATTCAGATTCTGCCAGGCATATTTTGTAGACTGAATGTGCAAAGCATTTACTCCTGGTAGATAATCCTGGTAAAGTATGTTTGCACATGGGAAACTGCCAGCATTTGGTATGTGCTTAAGTACTCTTAGTTTCGGGTTATCAGTTTTTTCCAAAGGTATGTTGGCAGCAGTGAATGCCTCCGTGAGATTGAATGTAGCTTCTCCTCTTGTTAAACTGCTTTCAGTGGTTCTTTGAAACAACAAGGACATTGTAATTTGTTTTTTGTTCTGACCTTCAGCCTCTGCAGAAGCCTTTCGCTTTACATGCAATTCGAACTCTAAAATGGCAATCAATGCAGTTTTTCCTCGATACATCCAGAGTCACATCACATGACTGGAAAAAAAACCCCAAAACCAAAAACAATTTACCACCACCTGAATGTAAGGTTCCTGCAGGGAACTGCAATCCACAATTCTGAGCTGAAATGTATTTAGGTTTTTTAAAATCTCTTTTCACTTATCGTTAGACTGCGGCATTGAGTTTAACTTTTTAAAAGATGGCGCTGAAACATTTTCACTTCACTGACTGGTGCCTTTACTTAGTCTATGTCACCAGCAGACAGTAACTCTCAATCGCATGATCTCCGGCTGCAGTGACTGTCGTACTGTCTTTGTATTGCAGTAAGCATTGGGACATTCTAAAACAGTGCATTATATGAATAATATGCTAGTTTATTTTTTTAGGTGGATTTCACTGAAAATCGTGGCCAATGCAATAGTTCCTGACAACTGTGGACAACACTGTTTTTCACGGTTTCTGCTAAAGTGCAAAACCACCAATTAAGTAAACCCCTTCATATAAGCAGCTACCAAGGATGTCCTGGAAGTTCTCTCATATGTGCTCTGCATTCTACAGTAAATTAGTTCTCAAGACTGATACTGTGGACACTGAAATAAGAACAATGACTGGAAAGCAAAGGATTCCCTATTTAGCTGGATCCCACCCACAGGACATTAGGCCTATTTCAATGGTGTCAAACACATTATGTCCATGTCCACATTATGAATTTGTACAAGCCACAGCATATTCCAATTGTGAAAAAACTCTTCCATTTTAAAAAGGAAGTTTCAGACCATCATGGATGTGCAGAAAATGGAAAATAGTGTCTAAAGGCAGCCAAATGCCAGAAACAGCAAGTCAGGATCGTAGCTTTCCCTCAGCTTTAACTAACCTTGCTGACAGTTTCACATCCAATGATGCTTTAGATGTTGGCATTAACTACTATACTGCTGATTATTTGATCAGCCAGACTAAGAAAAGCAAAGAGAAATTCAGAGAGAAGAACAAAAAGGAAAGAATGGCATAAGTTTTGATGCTCTTAAAGGCAAGTATCTTTTCCTCCTAAGTAACAACATATGCAACCATAAAGCATTTAGCAATTAATAAATAATTTAAAATTTTAGTTCTTAAATAAAGGCCATTTTTATCCTTGATTTCTGACAGACCTTCCATAAATCTCAGAATAACAAATCAAAACTGACCCTTTTATTTTGCACAAATTCTCAGGCAAAAGTACAACTAGAAGTCATGTGCATACAGATTCAGGTTTCTCTCTTAATAAATTACATCAATTTTTAATCAAATTCCCACTGAACTACTTTTTTGTTTTTAAATACCATTTCCCCGCCACACTTCAGCCAAGTGGCAACTTCCTTCTCCAGGTTCTTTGCAGAACTCCACAACATCTCGACAGGTCGTTTCTGGTGTAATTGGAACTTCTGTCAAAATCTGTTCATTGTTGCTCAGGAACACAGTTAATATCATCTGAAAAAGAAGAAAAGTGGTACATAAATAAGACACTGTTGGGCAAGAATAGAAACAACAAAATTTTATGGGTCCCTTTACAGTGCCCAATACTTGCGATTATAAGTCGTGTTTTCAGTTCCTTTAAATAAATTTGCAAAATTTTAGCCACTTGGACTAAAAGCTTTTTATGCTGTGTGTCTGTCAGATTAAATACTTGGAGAATTTTTTGTACTCAGAACAGTTTCTGAGAACAAGGAAAGTTCTAGCCATATTGTTTAAAAAGCCAAACCAAAAAAGCTGAGCAACCCCTTCTTTGAAATACCATAATGGCCCCATTCTTTGGCTAAAAGACTTGAAACTTGGTAAGGTGTGCATATCTTCTATCAGGGATGTAGTTTTTATTCTCTTCATGCATATATATCCAATTTTGGCCAAATAATACATTTTCAACATTGCAGGCTGCATATGCTTGCATATATGTTCACCAGACTTGCTAAAGCTTAACAGTTAAAAACCTCTTAAGAGTCCATCCCTCCCTCAGCTGGTTTGAGCTTTTCACAGCTCCCAGTGCTGAACAGATGGGTAACTACAGCCTCCCCACGGAGCAACTGCACACGCTCCTTCCAATTTAAGGCTACAGGGGTGAAGCCAGACTTTCACTGTAATGACTGCTCTCACACTCCAGGCTAGAGTATAGGAGGACTAGAAATGGGAAGCCTGACTCTTCTACTTCCATGACTCACCTGCTTGCACCCAGGAAGTGTGAAGCAATCAATTCAAATACGGAAGGGACAAAACCAGATTAGCGAAGAAAGAGGAAGAAAAAAGAACGAAGGTGGAACTGGGAGATAAGGCAGGGAAGAAACTATGGCCAGCTAGACAGAAGCTGCGACTAAGAACAAGGAAAACATTAGGGCTAGAGAAAAAAAGTGCTAGCCCAGGATGAAAGGCATCTGAACAAAAATTCCCTGCATGACTGTCTCAATTACTCAGATCCTCATCAACAGAAGCAGAGATGATAATAGTTCCCTGCCTTACAGCTCATTCTGACAGTAAACAGATTTAAAGATTGTAAAACACTCAAATACTATGGTGATGGAAGTCATAAGTTCCTAAGCTAAAGAGAGAAAGATATGACAAGGAGTCTACCTACAGTGGAAGGCTACACTGAGAAACAGTGGAGTAAGTAGACAGATGAAAAGCAGGGGTTGGGGTGGAGGGACAGGAAAGAGGGACTGGCTGGGCAAGAATGGACTGGAACCAGAAGCCCGGGATACAGAAGGGACAGGACTGAGGAACAGGGGTTGGGCTGGAGGAACAGGAGATAGGGACTGCCTGGCCAAGAAGAATAGACCGGGATGAGGGGCAAGGAATAGGGGAGGGACAGGACTGAGACAAAGACAAGAGCAGGGAAGAGGGAGTTGAGCTCAGAGGAAACAGATAGAAGAATCTATATCTACTAGATAAGACCACTCTTGGGATTCTAGAATAGGACCCAAGATTCCCAAATCTCCCCCTACATCTATGTCAGTAGATACCTGTGAAAGCAAAGGCAATGAGGGCCTCATTTACTTTTAGGGCTGGTCCTCCTCGAGGAGGAAAGTATACAATTCTTATTCTATTGGCTCAAGGGCCAGAGATCAATGCAATGGATTTTAGTTTCAGGTCTGTTTATGACCACTGCAGATGTTGATATTATTTCAACTGATGACTTTTTAATTTTTTATTTAAATGTTGAAAATTATGCACATGCCCATACACTTATATGTGCATGGACTCATACACGTGTGCCCACACATGCAAACAGAGTTAAAGACTGTAATGAAAGCTGTGAAGTCAGGCACTCAAAAGTCAGGAACCGGCAGATTCATGCTTGTGCCTGCAACCTTAATTCGACTCCCCTGTGCATAAGCATTGCAATAAATCTTTAATTACACATACAGACACCTTTTCCCAGAGAAGAACTTTCCTTTCAGTATACACAGTGGTTCTGCTCTGAGGATGAATCAGTAGAAGAGATTTATCTGTAGGACCCCTAGCTCATTTGTTGAGGGAATTGGAGGGTGAGTAGTGAATAATGGAGGGGATTACAGTCACTGTGTATCCTCACTTTTTCCTGATTTGGGACAATGGGGTTTGATTCTCAGAAGAGCTGAACACTCACAGGTGCAACTGAAGTCAGTAATGTAGTACAAATCCGTTAGATTTTAGACATAAGGCCTAAATTTAGACATGATACTTTATTTTTGCAATATGCTTCTGTATACAACATGGCTTGTCAATAGCTTCTGCATATAGGTTAAAGGCAGCTTTGCACATAGAGTTTCACAATCGCACCTGTTCAATGACCTAGGGTTACACGAAGATAAGGGGTTACTAAAGGACACTGAGTTTACCACAGCTTCCCCAACACGCATGTGCCATCCTCTATCCCATAATAAGTTGAGTCTAACTTGAAAGGCCCTGACATCCTGTGGAAACTTAGACATAATGGTAAAATTGCGAAACTGCCAATAACTGCTTAACACGCTATGGTTCTTTGTTTAGATAAGCTATAAAAAGACCCTCGGACAAAGACCGGGCGTCGACTCTGCTTTGGGCTACTAGCCCCCTAGTCGAACTTGTTTGCAAACAATAAACATGAGATGGATCCAGCCTGAATGTGTATGACTCTCTCTTGAGGTATATTGGAAAAGCCTCCAGGGACACGAAACTAGCCGTTTGTGCAACAGTAAGAGCTGTACTTGAATATATGTAGTGCTATTCAGAATCCAAAACACACAAAAAAAATAAGCCCCAGGAATCTCACATTCGGAACCGCAAGAGTGGACGCTTCTGATTTTCATCTGTTGATGCTTCAGCTTCACTTCTATACAACTAGTGTCAAACTCTCCCATAAATTCACATGAGTATTTTGAAGATAAATTACTAGATACCATAGTGATGAGTGACAGAAAAGCCTATGAGGAAGTTCATAACTAAATCCAGAGAAGTGCTTAAATAGTGAGCAAATAAAAAAAGATGATGAAATAAGCATGACTTCGGAGAAGGGCTTGAAAGGTAAGCGGGAAAAACAGCCCATGAGGAAGTTAATAATTGTGACTTCAGAGAAGAATCTGAATGATGAGTGGAGGTAAAAGAGACTTAGGGCAATACACTGAATTATACAAGATAATATTCAAGAGGCTCATTAATGAACACTGTTGGTCCAAAAAGACGTGTTTATGGATGCTGAAATGCAAAAAGTGTGTTCATAATACTTTATTCACAGACCTCACTACATTTTCTAAGGAGGATAGTACCCAGAAACTGAGCCACAGTAAATCAGTGATTTGTCCAAAATGACACAATAAGCAAATGATAAAAGGTCATTAAAACAGAAAAAAAAGTTTCCTAGCTCTCAGCCTCTTGTTTAAGTCCTCTACAGTACTGCTGCCCGAGCCCCCCTTCACCTCCTGCCTAAAAGCATTGTATCTTAAGATCTTTGCAGCCAATACATTCCAGTGTCAGAGTTGGTAATCTGCAGTGGTATACAAAATAGCAGAGCAAAGTAACTGCATGTGCACTAGCATTTCAGACCTGCACCACTGGGGACAATGATGGAAGCTGCAGTGTAAACAGAATGTAGCTACTTTTACTTGGATGGCATAATTACAAAAATGCTTGTATCTGCTCTACAGCTCATGTTGGCAAAGTAAAGTGGCTTCTCCAGGCACAGACACTGACTTATATAGATGTGATTGCAATATTCCAGGGCTGTGAAATTTCTTGCAAAAATCCACCTACTTGCCCTACAATTTTGCACTGGAATCTATAAAAAAAATGAAGGTCCTAATCCTTATGGTTGTAAAGACAACCTTGAAACCTGAAAGGACAGTACTAATGCAACAGCATTTGCCTCCATCTGCAAACATTTAAAGCAAAACCACTTTGAGAGGTGGACCTGCCCCATACATCTCAAATCACATCCCCACGGATTCAGGAACTCCACAGCTGTGCAATTGGGCATTC